GTCGGATCACATTTAAACAACTGTTAATCCGACAGAAAGGTGTGAGAGCGGGAGGAATGACAACTATTCTCACTGAACCCTAACTCCTCCACTTCAGATCAACAGCTGGAGGCTTCGTGTTCTCGGTGGAATCACACAGATGTAATCAATAAAACACACGGGGTTTTGAAATGGATAAAAAAAATGTTTCCTGGAAGAAATCACTTTTTTTTAAGATTTCGATACAATTTATTTTTTTAGACGGAGAGATTAGAGTATTGCAGGGGTGGGACGCCCCCTGGCGCCCATCATCAGAATGTCCTATGGTTGGGTTACAGTAGGAAGGACAACTACAGTAACTGACCTTTTTGCTGTTGAATTATTCTCAGTTCCTGGAACAAACACACAACATGTTCTGTCTATGTTCCTGACACTGTGTGTGGCCTTTTATTGTGGCGGTCACTCCTTCAGTGTTTTATTGTGGCGGTCACTCCTTTAGTGTTTTGTTGTGTCGTTTTGGGGATAAACGACTGTATATTAAAGTGAAAGTCACTAGATGGCAGCATTGCAGCTCATTTCATTAATCTCCTACTTTTACAGTGGTTTGTACAGGTAAATAAATATTACCAGGCCTAAATCGGTATCGGTTGGAATCAGAAATTAAGTGTTTGAACAATATCGGCAAAACGTTTTTTTTTTTTTGAAAAGCAGAAAAAAAAACAAGACAAAAAGTTCAGGCGTCGTCTGACGACTCCTTTAAAACTTTTGAACTTTTCTGACGACTGCGTTCATCCATCGCCAGCGTTGCGTCGTCTGTGCAGTAACTGCTACCTGCAGCTGAGTCTGTGAACCGGTTCAGTCCTGCTGCGGAGGACAGGCCGTCCATTTAGAGGACAGGAGGCACAAAGGAGAGGATAGAGGAGCCGATGAAGGGACACTTTGTTGACGACCAGGCGACCGACTCTCACAGAAGCCCAGATCCGGAGTCACTCGAAGCGTTGGCACATCCGCTTCTTTTCGGCCTCTCGGAAACGACGTGTCCTCACTGACGATGGCCGTCTTCTGTGTAAACGCCTTTGAAATGAGTGATGAGGAGGAGCGGGAGGAGACGACGCAGGGAGCGGGAGGAGACGACGTCCAGTTTCAGTGACAATGTTTTGTTCTTCATTGACACAGATGAAATTATTTATTACAAAAACAACCTTCAAATTTCCTGCTGCAAGCATTTTGTACAAATGAGAGCTTTTATTTTAGTAAAAACAGCCAGAGAAAAAAAAAAACTAAAAAAAAAAGTTTGGGACGTTGCAGAAGGAAAACATTTTTCATAACCAAACTCAGCACCTGATTGGTTCTGTGGTGTACAGAAGATCAACATTAACAACTCAACACATTTTTTATGCCCCCACCCCCTAGTGAATTGAAATTATGAAATCTCATCGTTGTGACATAAATTGAAACTCAGGAAATCTGATTTTTTTTTGTTTTCTTTTGTAAAAAAAAAAAATTTATATATTTTTTAAATATGGTTGAACATGTTTTAAATGCATTTATTTTGGTTGAGAAGTTTGACCTTAAATCTGGGCAAAGTAGAAATTAGTCTGATTGAGAAAATCTGATTTAACGTACTGATGGTACATTTGGTTAAGTCTGACTCCAGTATTTTCCCCCATCACCATTGAAGTCTTAGATAGGAAAAATTGGTTTAACTTTGTTCTAAATGATATCTTTTATAAAGACTTTAACAGAACTGGGCAGATCTTTTATTTTCAATTTTATTTAAAAAAAAAAACATTTGTGTCATAATTCTTGTCAAGTTCATAATTTTCAATTTACTGTTTTGTTTTTTCTTTTCCAAAGTCAGTTGTGACAGTTTTGCCTTAAGAAAGAAATGTTTGTTTGGACTTAATTCCTATTCATTTAAAATGAATAAAATTTACAAAATTACATTTACTACATAACTTAATTTTATTTTTAATTTTCAATTAAAATGTTTTGTTTTAAACTTCTGAGCGTCATCCCGCTGCTCATTTTGTCGTTCCGTGGTGTCGGCGGCCCACCGCCGTGATGTCTGTGGCGGGTTCCAGCCCCCGGCTCCCCCCCCCCTGCCTCTGGTTTTCCTGCAGCGTGGCCTGCTGACTCCTATCCTGTCAGCGAGCTCCGTCGTCCTCCTCCTGGGACGGGGGAGGAGCAGTGAAGGAGCAGGAAGCCCGGAGGTCCTTCAAGACGCTCCGGGGTCAGAGTCCCATCCCAGACCTGAGGTCCGGTCTCCGTCTCCATTGTTAAGACGGAAGAGAAATGAGTCCAAACTTCCTCCGTCTATTCTCGGCCTGACTCGGTTTATTGGCTGACGGTTGACGATCGCTGCTGGACTTTTACCAACAACTTTAAAAATAGGAAGGTGTGAGGCGTTCACTGCCCCGCCCGTCGTTACGTCAGTGAGTGAATTAGACTGAAACTTTCCTCAGTTTGGACTGAAGTTTCTGGGGCAGGAACAGGAGTTTGTTTCCATGGAGACAGAGCTCAGTTCATCAGTTTGAACTTTCTTTAAATCCAGCGTTACCTCAGGGAGGGGTCGGGTTTTTTTTTTTTTCCAGATGTTTCCTCGACCTCCAACCACTGACGTATCGAGACACAGACTCAGGTTTCAGGACGATTTCATGCTGAACTTGACCTCAAACAGTTGCACGCAGCTGTTGAATATTACTTTGATTTTTTTTTACAGCATCACAGACGACGCTGAGGTGAAGTTCAGTGTGAAAAATGAAAAAATGAAAATGATAAAACAGTCACCGGTCTTTAAAAAACACCAACAGTCGTCTCCGTTCATCAGATTAGAATAAAATGATCGTCCGTTTGTTCCGACGTCGACACGTTTCCGCAGCAGCAGCAGCTTCAAATGAACTGTTCTCTGATCAGATTTGAACTCCATTGATCCTTGTGTTAACAGCAGATCTTCTGCCTCTTGGAGGCGCCAAGCATGTGGTTCCACTGGGAATCGAACCCAGGACTTCCTGCTTGTCTGCTGCTGAGGAAAGCTATGCTAACAACCGTTACACCAGTCTTCAATCAGTTAGAATGTAAAAAAAGAAAAAAAAAATTCAACCTACATTGAAGTTCAAACC